TGAAAGGGAAGAAATCCTTCCTAAGTGATTCCTGGAAGCAAATATTACTCTAGTACCAAAACCTGAGAAAGACCCAACTATAAAAGAGAACTATAGACCGATCTCCCTAATGAACACGGATGCAAAAATCCTCAATAAAATATTGGCAAATAGGATCCAGCAAATCATCAAGAAGATTATACACCATGACCAAGTGGTATTCATCCCAGGAATGCAAGGATGGTTCAACATACGCAAATCAATAAATGTAATCCACCATATCAATAAAGCCAAAAATAAGAATCACATGATCATCTCTATAGATGCAGAAAAAGCCTTCGATAAGGTCTAACACTTATTCATGATAAGAACTTTACAGAAAATTGGAATAAATGGTCTTTACCTCAATATAATAAAGGCCATTTATGACAAACCAACAGCCAGCATCATACTAAATGGCCAAAAATTGAAAGCCTTTACTTTAAAATCGGGTACAAGACAAGGATATCCTTTATCACCACTCCTATTTAATATAGTACTGGAAGTACTAGCCAGAGCAATTAGGCAAGAAAGAGAAATAAAAGGGGTAAAGATAGGAAAAGAAGAATTTAAATTATCATTGTTTGCAGATGACATGATACTCTACATAGAAGACCCCCTAAACTCCATTGAAATACTCTTAGATACAATAAATAAATTCAGTAATGTGGCTGGATACAAAATCAATACTCAGAAATCAATAGCATTCCTATACACGAACAACAAAATTACAGAGAGGGAAATAAGAGAAACTGGACTATTCACATTAGCAAGCAAAAAAATGAAATATTTAGGAATTACTCTTACGAAAGAAGTGAAAGACTTATACAGTGAAAATTATAATACACTGAAAAAGGAAATTGAAGACGATCTCAGAAAATGGAAAGACATCCCTTGCTCATGGATAGGAAGAACAAACATTGTGAAAATGGCCATTCTCCCAAAACTGTTATATAGATTCAATGCAATCCCAATAGAAATACCATCAACATACCTTATAGATCTAGAGAAATCACTCCTAAATTTCATCTGGAACCAGAAGAGACCTAGAATCGCAAAGGCAATTCTAAGCAGCAAAGACAAAGCAGGAGGCATCACAATCCCTGACTTGAAGTTATACTACAAAGCAACAGTAGTAAAATCAACATGGTATTGGAATCAAAACAGAGCTGAAGATCAGTGGAATAGATTAGAAGATACAACCACAACTATGAACACACTCAACCACCTTATTTTTGATAAAGGAGCCAAGCAGGTTCACTGGAAGAACGACAGTCTCTTTAATAAATGGTGCTGGAAAAACTGGCTCTCCATTTGCCGAAAACTAAAACTAGACCCATGTCTATCACCATGTACTAAATTAAAATCTAAATGGGTCAAAGATCTGAATATTAAAACAGAAACACTAAATCTATTGGAAGATAAAATAGGTAGAAACCTTGGAGACATAGGAGTAGGTAAAGAATTCATGAACAGGACTCAAACCGCACGGGAAATACTTCCCAGAATCAATAACTGGGACCACTTCTTATTAAAAAGTTTCTGCATGTCAAAAGAAATCTCCAGCATAGTGAAAAGAAAACCCACAAACTGGGAAAAGATTTTAGTGAACTCTCTCTCAGACAAGGGCCTCTTGTCTAAAACATATAAAGAATTAAAAAAACTCAGACCTCCGAAATTCAAAGATCCAATCCAAAAATGGGCATCTGAGATGAATATGCAATTCTCAGATGAAGAAATGCAAATGGCAAATAAATACATGAAAAAATGCTCATCATCATTGGTTATTAGAGAAATGCAAATTAAAACCACACTGAGATACCATCTCACTCCTGAAAGAATGGCCAGGATCAAGAAAACCGACAACAAATGCTGGAGAGGCTGTGGGGAAAAAGGAACTCTCCTGCACTGCTGGTGGGAGTGTAGACTGGTACAGCCTTTGTGGAGATCTGTCTGGAGATTTCTCAAAAAGTTGGGACTGGAAATCCCATTTATTCCAGCAATTCCACTTCTAGGCATATTCCCAGAAGAACTAAAAGCATCATACCACAGTGATATATGTGCACCTATGTTTATAGCAGCACAATTTGTAATCGCCAGATCTTGGAAACAACCCAAGTGCCCATCAACTGAGGAATGGATAAAAAAGTTGTGGTATTTCTATACAATGGAGTATTATTCAGCTATAAAGAAGGATCACATTGAGATATTTATCAATAAATGGGCGCAGCTTGAGACCATACTCATTAGTGAAATAAATCAATCTCGCATGTGTGAATACCGAATAGTTTCCCTAATGTAAGTAATGATTCAAATATATAAAAATATGTGGTAATCATGATTCCCCATTAGGTGGCCTTGAAGCCTTATAAAGTTTTCACTCATTAATTAGAAAGGCTTTATTCTGGGCTTCTTGATATGAAAATATTTGAAGCTAGAGTATATGAAGTTTTATCCAAATATTTCAAGGAAAAAGACACTATGGTAACTACTATTAAGTCAGGTTATAAGGTGGTGAAGTACTAGGTTGTTGAAACAGTCATGCTGTGACCTCTATTGTTATATTGTTATGTCCTGTTTTATCTCAATCTCCCCCTTATTGTTTCAAAAAAAATTATTTAGTCATTTCTTATGTTTGTCTTAATTAAAGAAAAAATTCAAAAATATTAGGATATATAAATAGTAACTCTTTTCGATTTCCTATTAACTTGTTTTGAAGTCCTGTAGTACTCCCACGATCTTGTTTTGACTGATTAGACTCTGTTCCATTCTATATGATAGTATCAAGTTTGAAGACATAGGCAACTACTTTGAAGACAATAAGATTCACTAAGATACCCATTCTGGTTTGACTATTGTCTTCTTTGGAAGTCCTGTAATGTTTACAATGCCTAAGTTTTATTGGTCTTGTTCTCTACTGTTTTGTCCAACTTTATAATATCTAATAAGATAGACAATTCTTTTTAAGGAAACAAGTTGATAACCATTGTTGATAACCTTGTACTCTGTTCTACACCATGTGCTATGTCTATCCTTGGTATTGACTGACAGCTTTGTTTTGCCATATTTGACTGTATTCTTCCCCCCCCCAAAGAAAGTAATAAGCACTAAGGAGTAATAAAATCCAAGATGTGTACATTTTGTTGTAAAAAAGAGAGGGAAAAAAAAAAGAAAAAGAGCTCTAACGGATATAACAGCAAGTGTGTTTGGGGGTGTTAAATACCTGACTTTATCAATGTTTTTGGAACATTGAACACAGCTGTCTGTAGTCTCCCTGTTTGAATGTCCACCTTGTGTTCTTTGATACTGTGATTTGAGGAACTATTTTCAAGAAGATAGTGTGTAATCTACTAGCAGGTAATTTCTTACTGTTATGTTTTTTTGTTTTGTTTTGTTTTGTTTTGTAGTTCTGTATTGCGTGTACCCTTACGCCGCTTTGGTTTGTTTTGTGTTTTTCTCTTTTTCCTCTTAAATAAAAAAAAAAAGTAAATTAGTATTCAATTTTTTGATGATTTTCAAACAATCACCTTGTAAGATAAAGATACAGTTTTCATCTGATGTATCTATGATGTATATTTCATCTGATATATGGTTTATGATATATCTGTCTCTATTTTATTTTAGTTTAGTTTTTGGTACTGGAAATCTGACTCAGGACCTCACACTTTTCAGACAGGCACAGTGCCACTGACCTATATCCCAGGCCATTGTTGTAAATGTCTTACAAATATGTTGTATTTCATTTGGTCAATGTTTTCCTAATAGAAAGGAACATTTAATTTTTCTTTTGAGAGTTAATCTTCATAATGCAGGTCAGGAAGGGGATGGCTGAGTGGTAGTGTGTTTCACATGCACCAGGACCTAGCAGCAACCCCCAACACAAAAAAACGAATGCTCATTGTGACGGTCACTTCTAGGAATATGCAAATGTGTTTGCTTTTGCTAATTTTCTCATTTTGTATGATCTAAAATTTTTATTTCTATGCCACTGGAAACTTTTTTTTTTTTTTTTTTTTTTTTTTTTTTTTTTGGTCTTTTTCATTTTTATCGGTACCAGGGATTGAACTCACGACTGCCTGCTTACAAAGCAGGCACTCATGCCGCTGAGCTAAATCCCCAGCCCCCTTGCCACTGGAAACTTTTGTGACATAAAATCTACATTTTTTGAAATGGTTTACATTTCATTCATGTATCATTCCAGTTTTTCAACTAAAATATGTGAGGATCAACTTCTAAATTCTGACAGATATTTGAATGTTTCCAGATTTTCTATTAAGTTACATTCATTTGTCTATCTTTTGGGCTGTTAGAAAATAATTAATTTGTGAAAATAACTTACCTTGATATCTACGAAGGTGGGTTTTCACTATATTTTCTTAGTGACCCCAATGGCAAAACAACAAAGGGAAACTCAAGTGTTGCACATTTTTTTCGTTGCATAAGCAGATACACAAAAAGCTCACATTTGGGGACTAATGGAACTTTCTAGCCAAGAACATAGAGCTGCCTTCCCAATTCAGTTTCCTTATAAAAGGTCCTTAGTACAGAACATACATGCACAGATGGACACTGATAGTAAATGGACACTAGGTTTTTAGAAGCTTAAGTTTCGGCCCTAAATTTGTAGATTACAAGAAACATGCCACAGTTCCCTTTTTTATAATATGTACAATTCTCTTAATGTGATACTAAGAACAAAACACTACACACACATCATACCAATGTTAAATAGCTTTTCAGTAGTCAGTGAAGTGGCCTACAACAGGAAGTACAAGTCCATTATAAACCAGTGGGAGGTTTGTTTTTATGTTGCAGCTTATGAGCACTGCCTGAGGATCGACCCTCTGGCCAGCTTTGCTTCCCTGGGTGTTGGGAATCCCCCTGCACCCTCCTCACCCACTCCTCCCTCCTGAGCCTGAGACCCTCGCTCTCCTGCATCATCCCAGCCCCACTCGCCGCCCCTGGTCATGCAGCCCCATTACCTGCATTCCCTGTCTCTGTCATGGACATGGCCTGCTGTGATGAGAAACTGCACCCGGTCCTTGTAGCCCTCAAGGGCAGCCTTGTGAATCTTGGGCATTGGCTCACCAAAGATGCTTTGCAATGCAACCTTGCAGTTTTTCAGAAGGCCCACAGGCCTCGATGGTCCCGGGTCCCCACTGGACAAGTTCTTCTGGGCACAATCTATAGAGAGTGCAAGCACCTTAGGGACCCTGGACCTCTCACTGCCTTTCAGTGAAAGCCAAGCAACCCCTCATTCAACCCCTAGGCTCTAATGGCCTCTGCACATGCACATCTCCACAGCTCTGGAGCAAGCAGCCTATCGTGCACAGGTGCTGAGCAAAAAGCCTAACTATCCCCATTAATGTGGACTCACCAGATTCTGGTAATGTTGCAAGTGGTTGTTTATCATCAGATTTCAAATTCTCTGATTTCTCAGCAGTCTTATAACATGAGGCCAAACACCAATCTGAATCAAAATAGAAAGTTTGATATTTTGGAATGTAATAGTACTACAACCAGAACTAATGTACAAACCCATTCCTCAGAAGCAGTCTCCTGTGTTTCTCTGCTCCACAGTACAATAATGCCTCAGGCTTACTGTGCTCCACAGCTTCTGTGCTTGCCACTCGCTCAGCGGAGTTTCATTAGCACCACCATTTCTCATTCTTCTGTTTTCACTTACTTGAAGTATTATGATTTACCCAGCAATCTCTTTTACATACATTAATTTCTAGGACAGTTGATTTAATTCTTTAGGGAAACAAATTTCATTTCACTGCTATGAGATGTCAAATGTGTAAATAATGAGCAAATTGCGTAAAACAGAGTGTGAATTAGGGAGAAACTGTTTCGAGGACAGTGGAACTAGGGAAGGGGCGGGCCAATGGAAAGAAAGAGAAAAAGGATCCATTTCTTAAAAGAAATGAATCAGACATACACGTATCAATATCATATTGTTTTTCTAGAGGGAGAAACTCAAAATTGTAAATCAGCACTAAACTGTGCAAGGATACTGGAAAATATTCAAATAGGAAGGGGAATAGGGTGCTGTGTGAGAGGGAGAGGAAATAAAGAAAAAGGAAAAGAACAGACAGTGCTGGGGATTTAGCTCAACAGCAAAAGTGCCTGCTCTGCAAATGCAAGACCCTGAGTCCAATCCCTGGTGCCCGCACTCCCCCAAAAAAACGGACAGGAGAAAATAGAGACAAGGCTTTTGTAAATAAGCAGGTTAAGGTGATCACTTGAAGGGAGAGGGAGGGACTGGGGATAAAGCAATCAAGAAATATCTTATACAGTAGAAGCTTACTCTAATGAATGTTATCCTTATGGATATCTAAAATGCACCAGTATAATCAAATGGAAAAACAAAAATGAAAATTGTCTATTGTACTATAAACACACACAATATTGTTTCCAAGACTCAAAGACATGGATGTTAATCAATATATTACTTTAAATTCTGAAAACTGCAATGACATACATACTTCCATGTGCCACTGCTGTTAGATAGAATTCACTTTATAAATTGTGATAACATCACAAATTCATAAGAAAAGTGCCGGCTCTCCGGGACCTTATTGTGCCCATGTACGAACTAGTTTAGTCCAGGTCACTCGTAGTGAACCTTTGGCACATGCTCCACAGTGGGCTCTTTGCTATCACTGAAAGCCCTAGAAGGCTCACTGTCTCCAACCAAGACACACATTAGTCCCAGCGAATGGCTGGAGACAAGAAAGGAAAGCACAATGACACAATGCCGTTTTTCTTTATAAACAAAATTGTCAGACTTATAAAATTAAAGACAACTGAAAGAAAACAGGAGATAGAGAGTTTAAATGGCAGTTCGCTGTGAAGAAGCTCTTTGTCATTTGGCGTTGATGAATACTTATTGTTGAAATGGTGGTTTAACAGTGAATTAGAATCCCTGAAGCTCAAGGTTCTAAGAGGACAAATAATTCCAAAGGTTAAGTGCAATTCCACACTCATTCCCTATCTTGATGGGGCCTAGCAGACTGGAGTTTTCAGAAATGTAATGTCTCATCTGTCATAGTTCCAATGATTCACGAATCACAGCTCTAATGGATATTGGCATATGTGACTGCATGCTGGTATCTTACAGCTTTTTGTTCTTGTTGTTTGTTTCTTTGTTTTAGTACTGGGGATCAAACTCATGAGCTGCATTAGCCAGGCCGACACTTCTGTTGCTGAGTTAAATCTCCCGCCCCACTATTCTCCATCTTTCAGATTTAGTCTCTACTACAGTGTCAATAGATTCAACATACTTTAATAAGAAACCTCTGTAGATTCTGTAAGATCTTTTATGACTCTAAAAGGAATTCCAGCTAAAGTTTGAGAATCTTTGTTGTGAAGAATTGTATCGAACAGTCACTAAGAATGATTACGTCTGCACACTTAATAATCAAACGTATGAGACACCATATATACACACTCACACAGTCTGCTTTCGAGAAAATCTATCTGCTTGCAATCATGAATATACCAATGAAATAAAGTGGACACACAGTGGGCATATTACTAAGGAGAGCTTTACTCTAGACAAACATCAGAATCACTGTAAGCATATTTGCTAGCGGTAGTGAACTAAATCATGGGTATCAGTGAGCCACTTGCCACTATCTCCTGAGTAACCGGGACTCTGGGATGCCCAGAGGAGCCAGCTCTCTGGGAAGCACCCACACACTTTGAAAAGATCGTGGAATTTTATAGTAAGTTTTGTGGATCCCTGTGAAGTATAAGGATCCAAGCTGAAAACATTGGATATTAAAACATACGTAAACAATTCATTAAATATTATTTTCTCCTGAGCTTATTAGCACCTTATTTGCAAATATGCACACCAATAATTACACCGGCAGTATTTATGGCAAAGCCTTGCCAACATTTGGAGACAAAATGGAGATGACTGCAGGCATATCAAACAATTTAGGGGACTGTACTTCATTACAGAGGAATCTGTATTGTGACATGTACCTGGTTGAGGTGGCAGTGCATCCTTCACTCTTACTGCTTTCTTCCCATCAGAATCTTTTGTTTCCACAGCAGGCTGAATGGGATTTAAAGTAAAGTGATTACTACACACTGCATACCTCCTAAAATAGGCAGTTCGTTCAAAATACAAATATACAGTCCTTACCTTCAAGGGAAGATGTGTGTCAGGTGATTCTAAAGAGGAAAAAGGGAAAATAAACTTTAGACAGCAATATGAGAAAACCAAGCATACATTCATGAAGACTTAGGACACAGCCGAATCTTCATGCTATGCTTGGGAAATGATTACCTCAGGTTTCAGCTCCTTTCCGACTGGTGAGAACAATACGACAGAAAAATTAGAATACAGGTCAAACATGATTTCCAATGTGCCACCATACTGCCAAAGATCATAACTAAAATAGGAAGTGAGCATATTCCAATCTGTACATGTGAACTGCTGCAAAACAGTGATCTTGGGATGTCATGATCCTGAGGGGCTGACTATCAAAGCTGACAGGAGAAGGGAACAGCATATAAACTGAACAAAGCACATCATCCATTGGTACGCCGTTGCATACATGTAGGTGCTCTCGAGATGTCCACCATGGCAGAGCGCACAAATGGTGTGTTCCTAATATTGTTATTTTAAAAGGTGAGATTGTGCTCCGCTATCCATGGTGCCCTTCAATTTCTGGACATGAACGATCCCTCTGCCTCAAGTTTTCAAATAGCTTGAACTCAAAGGATATGCACAACACCTGGCAACATTTTCATATATTTCTTTTAAATATCAGTACTCTGTACACAACCATTTTGTGTGAAAGTTGGGGACATGTCTAAGGAGAAGCTGCCCAGTAAATTCTCAGTGATTTCCACTGATCCAGTGAGAATCAATCCATACAAACTGAAAGAAATTGTAAGAAATCATTAATAAGTGGTTTTGGAAGCATCTTTGGTGATATGTCCTGCACATAGTGACAAACACATAATTCTTGTGAATTCAGAGCAATTAGCGCTAAAAGAAAGAAGTTGCATCTGAGTAGCAATCTGTAGATCTCTCCCTAGTCTTTCTTTCCACCCAGAAGCTCTAAGTCTATTGACACTCTCTCTCAAATGTATGCTAAACACTCGCCTAAATAAAATTAGTCTTCCTTCTGATCTTCTTCATAATTTTTACCATGCTTTGGTAAGACAAAGACCATGACTGCCTTGTGGATAGACACTGTTTGGTTGGCAGCTGCATTGGAGGTGTACAACACAGAGCAGATTCTACCACCAAAAGATTTCTGAAAAAGCATAATTACTATAGTAGAAAACCACGCACAGGTGCTACAAGTTGAATTAACTCTGCTACTTTATTACTTCCCTTATGCTGTTTTCTGGTTGGCATGAATCATGCAACAAGGTGAGTACGACTGCCCAACAGAAACACAGCTCCAATACTCATCAGTATTTACCCATTGTGGTTGACTCACTAGATTCCAGGAAGAGGGAGAGAATCTGCATCACTGAGGGTGTTGCAAGGGGACATATATCAACAAACTTCAAATTCTATGATCTCTCAAAAGTCTTATTAGTCTGATGCAAACTCAAGTGGGAATCTAAATATAAAGTTTGATTTATTAGGATACAACGATACTACGCAGATATCGATTGTACAAATCCATTCCTCAGAAGCAGTCTCCTGTGTTTCTCTGCCCCACAGTACAATAATGCCTCAGCCTTACTGTGCTCCATAGCATCTGTGCTGGCCACTCACTCAGCTGACTTTCATTCGCACCATCATCTCTCATTCTTCTGTTTTAACTTAATAGTATTATCCCGATTTACCTTTAATTTCCAGGACTATCGATTGTTAAGTCTTTAGGACTGTGAATTTTATTTCATTGTTATTAGATATCAAATGTGTAAATAAAGAGCAAATAGTGAAAAAGGTATTGTGAAGCAGGGCAAAATTGTTTAAAGGAGAGGGGAACTAAAGAAGGGGCAAAGCCAATGGAAAGAAAGGGGGGAAAGACTCCATTTCTTAAATAAAATGAATCTAACACACACATTTCAACATCGTACTGTTTTTCTAGTGAGAGAAACTGAAAAGTGTAAATGAGAACAAAACTGTACAAAGACACTGGAAAATATTCCAATAGGAATGGGAACAGGGTGGGAGGGTAAGAGGGAGAAGAAGTAAAGGAAAAGGAAAAGAAAAAAAGAACAGAGAGAACAAAATAGAAAAAAAGCTTTTGTAAATAAACAGGGTAAGGGGAGACCTTTAAGGGAGAAGAGATTGGAGAAAAAAGAATCAAGAAGTATCATATAGAGGCAGAATCTCCCTCTAATGAAGGGGATCCTTATGGGTATCTAAAATGTACCAATACAATGAATTTGATGCAATAAATTTAAATTTTCTGTTTTACTATAAACACACACAACGTTCGCCATTGGTTAGAACAATATGACAGAAAAACTAGAATATACATCAACCATGATTTCCAATGTGACATTATACTTGCAAGGACCATAACTAAAACAGGAAGTGAGCTTTACATGCTGACTGCTGAGAAAAAGTAATCTTAGCAAGTCATGACCCTGAGAGGCTGAGTGGCAGAGCTGACAGGAGAGGGGAATAGCATATAAATCGAACATAGTACATCACCCATTTGTACACCATTGCACTCCAAGTATCTGTGGTTTTGCATTTCTCCTGCACTGCAACTGGTACATAAGTTTGGTCATCATCAAGAGGAATTTAAACTTTGTGTTCTCACAAAACAGTTAGCCATACATGTTCAGCATAATAATTAATAAACCCAGTCATGTTTTCTATGTCCTTGTGGGCCATGGCTATGCCTACATTTCTTGTATCCTCAAAACTAGTTTGGCCACATCTTGAAATTTGTTGAATCCCTCATGAATGGAACATAAACCATATCTGAGACATAATGCTACATCAGTTTTCAACATTGAAATAGTTATCAAAATGCAAAAAGCTGAATAGTCAGGGAATTGTTAGATACTAGGAAACTTTTACATTTAAAATCAGCACAATATTTACTAACAGGTAACAATTTTGGCCTTCAAGGAATGAACTGAACAATGTCTCTTGGTTCATTTTTAAAGGATTTGTGTGGAAAAGCTATTTTATCAAAACTTACTTATCTTAAAAGGAGTCAGTGCTTCTATGTGCAAGCTAATCTCACGTGAACAATGATCAATTTCACAGAAAGCTCTGATGCCTGATGACTAGGCGGGAAAGGAGGGAAGTACCTGCAGTGTAAGCCAAGGCTAGCACTCCTCCCTGCTCTGAATCATCCCTGAACAGCCACAGTCTACTCTGTCACTTGCAAACACATACTCGAAAGCTGTGGGGAGGGAGTCCTCTCAGTTTGCATCATTCATTCCAAAGTTACTGTCTAGCTTTGTTCTTCCCTATCCTCCTCCCCTAATAAGTCCCTGTTCCCTTCCAAACTGACCTAGTTCTATGGTCTTGAGTGTTTCCATTTACGGCTTTTTGCGGATTATTCCTACCACTACTTTCTTTAGTTGGCAGAAATGGCAGTAATATCTTAGAATTACAACTTCTATTTCTTCTCTGTTCATTGCTTTACTCTCTCCCCTGTGACTAGAACTATTTTCAGAAATACAAACAGGAAAACAGGCACGAAATGGTTCTCCCTTGACCTTGTTATGTCTTGAACTAGTTCTTATCCAATGACTCTCGTCCAGATTTCTCTACAGGGAACTTGATACTGGCCCATCTTCAGTGGTCTGAGGATGAGTGACATGAGCATCCCTGGAGACCTTCTTAGAAACACACCACCTTAGTCCTGCTGACTCAGATGTGTGGTGTAACATGTTCCCCCACAGGGGCTTCATTTCATAACTAAAGCTCCAGGTCACAAACCTAATCGCTTCCAAATCCACTTCCCTTCCCTTCCTTCCATTTTTGGAATCTAGCACCAACTTCCTCCTCATCCTGTCAACTAAATTGAAAATGCATAACAGGCCATCCCCGTTCTAATGGACTTTTAACTGAGACTATGGCTTTCCTGAACTCAATGACTAATCATTCCTTTCTTTCTAGTTTTTGACTGTCGCATTCTGGATGTACTACTTGCTGAAATAGCAACGTTTTTAAGTGGTAAACTTTTAAATGGAACTCTGCAACCAGCATCGCGGGAAGAAGTAAGAGCGTGAACCAAGGTACCAGTGAAACTACACGTACAGCGAACAATGCTCGTTTACTTTGATCTGTAGTAAATGAAGTAGAGCTCTGTGTAATTCACTACTTCCATCCTCAATACCTTTCCAATCGTGAGAAGACGGGGAAAGACGAAAACTTCTGCCCAACCTCTCTGCAAGTTTTGTTACTCGGTGCTCAATTGATATAATTCCTACAATTCTTCCTAATTGCTCTTCCTTTTTCTAAATGATTACTTCATTTTCCCACACCCATATTTCTCTTGCCTTTGCCTACTCCCTGTATTGTGGCTCTCTCTTTTCCCTCACTCCCTCCTCTCCTCTTAATTTTCTAACATCCCTCAGACATTAGAATGCCTTGAAATGGAGCTAAGAAGGCGGCTCCTTCAGTGACTCTCAAATTTGCCTGTGGCTGATACGTCAGGGTACATGAAACTTATTGCTGTGTTACTTCTCTTTTTTCTTACTTTGTCATTAATAAGTAGTTTTGGGGGATTCAGAACTCAGCCATGCTCCACTGTGAAATAAACATGCTGTCAAATGACTTTCTTAAAATATCACACATTTATACATATTTCTTACCTTTTCTTTTTCTATTTCCTGCCTGTTTTCCTCCATCATCTGCTTTCCCAGAAAAAGGATCGACAGGCTTCTGTGGAAAATTCACAGAGATACTCTGAGAAAATTCATATAGCAGTAATGAGTTGCACAACCATTACCTACTCATTTCCCAAGAAGTTATCTGAGTTTTACCATCTTAAGGCAGGCAGGTTTAATAATGGGAATCACGTACTGAGGACCAAAATGTCTCCAATGAGAGCCTTATGAGAAGCCCAGCTTCGGTCTCCACATGGGTGCTGACTTTGTAAAGCAGGCATGGAAAGCCACAGGAGGGATTCAGAGACAAAATTCCAGCTGATAAACATATTTCATCCTAACGTCGGAGGAGACAAAGTACTCTGCACTCTCCAATGAATGGAACATTGAAACACACAGATTTAAATGAAGAAGTTTTTATGAGAGTATGTTTGTGATATACAACAATTACATTTGTTTTGGGGAACTGCTACATTCGTTATCATTTCTTCATTGCCTTGGTTCCCTTTACACCCTAACATCACTTTCCCTTCCCTGAATAAACAAATTCTTATAAATATACTTGTTACCATTCACCACTAAGCATTTCTAATCACAAAAGCCATGTCACTGTTAAAATAATTGGCCAGCTAAGAAGCTTCAGAGAGCCACGCTGAGTACAAAGAACATCGCAGGCACTGCTCCACTTGTGTAAACAAGGGCTTAGAAGAAAAACAATTATGAGTAAAACTTTTACTGCTTGAAAAGATGTTTGAAACTTAAAATATACTAATAACTTCATGTTATATTCAAGTAAGAGCACACAAATATTGGACACTATATACAACTATTTCCCAATTAAGGGAGAACTTTTTAAAAGTATAAAAAGAGCTGCAGCATAAAACCTTTTTTAATTTATTAAGTGCCCAAAACTTGCTCATACTGATTTGCATGTTTTCTTTTCTGTCTGTTGCAAAACTGTAAATAACTGTGATGAAAGTTGATGCACTTCCTGCTTTCAGGTCACTGTAGGGTGCTACAATGATAGCCAGACATGGCTCATGGCTCCCTGCTCTCTGCCCACAGTGTCCTCGAGACTTGACTGGGTTGGCTCTTTCTCACTCTTAAATTAGCAGCACTTCACGCTCATTCCCATCCTTACCTCAAACTCCCTTGGAATTCTCTAACCTATGCAGGCCTGGCAGTGCACACCTGTAATTCCAAACTTCTGGAGGTTTGAGACATCAGAAGCACTAGTTCAAGCCCAGTCTGGAGAATGTGGTGACTTAGAAAGACCCTTATCTCAAGTATTAAAAGGCCTGGCGAGCTAGTGCCAGGTGAAGGCCACAGGATGGATTCAAAGTAATGAAACAAACAGTGCTCTTGTTTGTCTGAATACTCTATCATGATAGCACAAGTCCTCATCTGATGTATTCAGTGTCCCACTACCTAGTGCACAGTGGGTACAGAATAACAGAGATTTATTCAAGTTCACATTTAAAGCCTCCTCAGGGAAACCTCAAGCACCAAGCTACTCTCTTCCTATATGCTGATTCCATCAACAGTTTACCAACAGTGTTACCATTTACAAAGTAGCAATCTATATGCCCCTCTCAACTTTCTTATTGTCTTCTTCACACTATTGTTTTGTTGTTCTCAGGTTTAGGAAAAAATCTTCAATATTTATTCAGGTACTGCAAACCAACTAGAACTTTGTATAATTTTCAAAGTATTTTTACAATTTTTATCACATTTGTCCATATATATAGCTAAAAAGCAGATCATGTGTTATCTTCATGGTATAATAAGTCACAAAATCCAAATACATTAAATGATTTTTCCAAAACCAGCAGTCACTAACTGACAAAACCAGAATACTAACTGGTTTTGTGCTTCCACCACTACCCTGGTACCACAATGCAGGAGCTGCTTGGACCGAACACATTAGGCCTTTTCCTAAGTGCTCACTCTAAAACAATTTGTCAATATTTACATCTTTATCACTACAAGCATGACTGCCATAGAGACACTCAATGCATCCACATTCAACTTTGGGTTCTGTTTTTTGAAATAATGTAAAATGGATCTGTGATTATAAAGCCCTGTATTTATATTTCTTCTTTTGAATTATGTCATGCAGATTGACACTAAGCAACCAAAATAGATTAACAATTGTGATTCTCACTCATTATTTTGTCAAGTTAAAACCTCTAAAAATTATATCCAAACATTTTGTCTGAATCTCAGCAGAATTTTCAGCCAGTGGCCAGAGGCTGAGCAGGGAAAATTCTTCAGTTTTTGTTCAACTTAATTCCAGAATCTAAGCCGATTGCTTATGAAATCTAGCTCCTAGTTTTTGACTGCACTGGCTTCCTTGAATGAATTTTACACAGGTAGCAAAGGTGTGCTTAGCACTCCATCCATTTATTCCTTCACCTGCAGTACAAGGGATTCAACATAAGGTATTTGTATTGAGCTAGGAACCCTGTGTTTTTAACTTTTTGAGACAGGTTCTTATTAATCAGCTAAGCTGGTCACAAAATTAGGAACTGTGGTTGAAAACTAAGCAAATGACTTCTTACAGGTATATGAAGACATGAGAAAGTACAGACAAATTGTCCCATTTATATTAAAACCTCAACCAATACTTATTTCAAACATAATTACAAATGATAGGCAGTACCTCAGAATCCCAAGGCAATTCACCAGCTTTCTGTACTCCTGGTGCAAACACCGTATCTATAAAATGTAGTCAGAGACACATTAGTGAGAATATTCACTGCTGTAAAATTTGCTTATAGATACAAATATATCTACATTCATGAAGATTTCAATGAGATATGAGTCAATGTGAAAAGAATTTCAGAAGTTTGAATCAGTTTCCAAAACCTGTTGGTAGAAGGAAATTAAGACAAGTAAAATTTTAAAAGAAATGAATATCATTTTTTAGATCTACACACATTTGAAAATAATAGCATATAATCAAAAACAACTTTCACAGTCACTAATTTGCCAGTTTGATGAGTTTTCTTCTCCTCATCCACATTAGTCACATTGTTAACTGATATCTCATCCAGTGCTTTTACAACAAAAGGCTTACCCTTTTTCCGCACTGTAACTTTTGACATTTCTGCTTGTTTCTATTGAAGAAAAGAAAAAAACAGTATTACAAAGCATGCAATTGCCCAGCCACCCACTCAGTGTAATAGAAACACAATGGAAACAATCACCGAAAAAATCTATCAAATCACACGGATTACTCTGCAAAAAGCTGAAAGCACATTCTGCTTGCATGGAACCAGACGCAGATACATGAAAACAGTGAAATGCATTTCATTCATTCTACAAATGGGGTCCAAAGACAGGCTTCTAAAGCAAATACAATCAGTTCTATCTGGAAAGCTCAGGAAAAGCCATTTCTTGTGAACAGGTGAGAAAGCACCAAGGAAGGGTGTCAAGGGCATTCAAGAAAGGACACCAGAAACAAATGGATGGGCATGAAACAATACAGCAAAAGAGGGCTGCCCGAGGGATGTGACACAGCTGGAATACAGTTCCTGGAAGGGCACAGACAGGTGAACAGGAGCATCACACTAATTTCAGGCTGGAATGGGAACTTCCCTTGTGAAATGCGAATCTGTAGATTCTCTGATATTGTAAGATCGATGCCAGAGAATAATGGGAAGCACAGCATCAAAGAATATTGTTTTTAAATGATGAGTGAGAAAATGAGTCCAGAAATGAAAAATAGTTCTCAGAATGTAGGAAGTAAGCAAATTTGATAGTCACCAGAAGGGTAGCTGGGGCCAGGAATTCTCAGCTTCAGAGATCTGGTGCCATCCAATATCATCACAGAAAGACCACAGTCAAGGCCTGCAGGAAATACATCTAACTGGAGGCCTGGGATGGAGGAGACACATTTGGAGGAGGGGAGATGATGACCTCACTCAGGAAATGATATTGGCTCAAAAGGTAAGTAACTTTTTGTAGAATACAGAAAACGGAGGCAGTAATGCTAATCTATGCACAGTTCTGAAATTCATCAGATGAAATCATGAGGGGGGAATTACAGGAGATGCCATTTTTCAATTATATACATTAACATTTGTGTTGAAGCTATAAACAAACTTTAACTGATATATGCAAATACTAACTTCTGAGACAGTACGCAAATGTGAATTTTAAAATTTAATCATAAGATTTAATACCAAGATACCCATTGAAGATTTTGAAAAAAATTCCTGTTCAAAGAAAAATCTTCCAGGATTTAATGAAATCCAGGCCTGCTGATGTGCACCTGTGGTCTGTGCTTATAGGGCAGCTCAGGCGGGATGGTCCCTGAAGCCAGGAGTCAGAAATCCAACTGGTGAATATAACCAGGTCCATTCTCATAAAGGGAAACATATTATAAATTGTAGAAGAGAAATGGTGATGATTTACAGAAAGAGGTATTTTTAAATGCTACTACAACGTGAGGGAGAAATGTAAGGCCTTATTTGAAAATTCCTATTCCCCCAATAAATGGCATATGCCAATACTTCTAGTTTTCTACATGCAATGACAGTTACAAATGGAAGAAAAGTTGTGTGCTATTTACCACTACCTGAGAACTGAAGCATTTCCGGTAGAGACAAAGGAAACACAATAATTTCCACAATTTTCCATTCAGAGAAATGACTGCTAATTAGGATTCTACAGAAAAATTACACTTTGAAAAGGTGCACCGAATAAACATGGAGCTGACTAAAACAAAAGCATAAGAAATTTTAAGATGACATTTTAACCTATGTTCAGAGTTAAAGGATACTAGAATGTACTGTGTCTTTCATACCTATTCATTCCTCAGATTTGTTTTCTTACTTGACATGACATTAAACATAAGTCACCTGAAAATATATATCTTAAGCACAGTATACATTTTATGGCATATTTTTAGAAACTGAATGCACTTATTTATTACATAAATTATGCACACATTACTTGAAAAATTCTACTAGGTAGAAATCCATTTATTGGCATTCAACTGGTATTAAAATGCTTCTTAATACGAAACACCTCACTGCAGGTCTTCAGAATTCACACAAAAATCTTTCTAATCTCCAGAATCTCATTGTACTGCGGAGTTTTAAATGAATTTTTGGAAGTACAAAAACTTGTGAAACTTGAAATGTCAGAATCAGATACAGAGACTACCACTGTATATTTTTAAAGCTATAAAGCTTACAATTACTTACATCATTACCACTTGCTTTTGTAGACCATCTAGTTCTACTACTGCTTATTATTTTGAAAACAGGTAGTCTTCTATAAGATAAAATGTTTTAAAAGTGGTATCCCCTTTATGGAGGAATCACATAGAAAACACAGTGCAGGAAGGTGTAGTATACATTCAATCCAGCACTGGAGGTGAGGCTAAACATCCCAAATTCCAGACCGGACTCAAAAACAAATTCAATTAACTAAAAAAAGAGGGCAAGGGATACAGCTTCCTGCACAGGCCCTGTGATCACCTTCCAGAAACAAAAAAACAAAACAATAACAATGAAGATCCTGTAATTCCGTAGTCATACATCCCTGATGAAACACATTTTAAATTTCTAAGTTGTCACAGTTTCCGGTATTATTCTAGTCTAACAACAGAACCAATAACAGAAGCAGAAGAGCTCTCATAAAAACTGATGATAGCAAAATAAAGATTACTTAAAGGAAAAATTGTTTTATACACGGTAAGTTGTTCAAATGAAGGCACCAAACTTCCCTGATTATTGTAGGACTAATAAGATCCATAAAAGATTTATATAGGTATGAGTGCTATGAAGGTCTTGGTAGTAAGATTTTCAAGCCATGGCAAGATCCACTTATCCAAATGATCCTTGACCAAATTTTGTATTTCCGCCATCATGGCAAAGGTTTGACAGATACAATTTTCCTGTCACTGTGTGTTTTCTAACCCATTATTATTTTCAGTCTCAAATACTTCAAAATATGTACCAGTTATTTACCAAAGGGGTGGAAATTCTTTTTAACTAGGCATAGTTCTCCAAAGTGATCTTCCCTGATCAATGTTCCATATAAATTTATGGTAGCTACACCACTGTTAAATTTGAAGACTAAGTGCAATACAATGCAAAACTAAGAAAAACAAAATTAACTTTACAAAAGAGACTTACCTTGTTATCCAGAGGGAAAGCAGTGTCACCTGATGTAGCCTGGTAATTAACAGGACTGGGTTTGCTGCAAGAGCTGGGGAGCAAAAACACACAACAACAGTGGATCAATTTTGTCCTTAAAACCTGGTGAAAGCTTGGCTATCTGTATATCAAATGACAGTTGGAAGAGATCAAAAATGGCAGATAGATAACAGCTGACTACAGAGTCTCCCTGAGATACTCAATTTAAAATTCAACATAATAGAATGTGGGGAGTCCCAAACAGAGGGAGATGAATTCTCTCACCCTAAGAAGCAACTAAGATGAGAAGAACCAATCAAACATACAGTCCAGTGTTACTATTGGAACAGCTAAAGGTTCAGTGCTCCCGGCAGTGCCCAACCACACGGCAGCTATTTGCTGAGCAGTCCCAGGTCCCACTGCATCAACTCACAGGAGGCGCAGTCACACTGTGGTTGGGGGTCGGCAAACCGAATGGCGAGCTAAGCTGGAAGGGAGCCTGCATTAACCTGTGGTGAGTGACAGGAGTGGAGCCATTCCACAGAAAAGGGGGCTCCAGTGGACAACATTCTGGGACCGGGCAGGACTGGCAAGTACAAAGGGCAGCAGTGACTTCAACCAGTTGTTCCCTTCCCCAACGGGATTAGTGGAGTGAGCTTGGCTTGGGTCACATGACCGGGCTGAGAACCAATAGGTTATCCAAAATCAATTAACTGTGGTGGCAGCGCACGGTAACGCAGTGAAGTCAGAAGTTTCACTGACCCAGCAGGGAGGTAGCACACAGTAATACAGTGGAGGACTCAGCAGCTTGACTGATTTGAGGGGAGGGGCCAGCATACCCTGCCCCTGTTTGCAACTCACTAGCACACTGCAGTGGATCACCTAGCCAGTGTGCTTCAGAAGGATTGTAACCAAGAAAGAAAGAAACTGGGGCCTCCTGGAAGAAACAAAAAAGATGGGAACACGAAGCAACAAGAAAACGCCTCCAGGGTTCCCAGGTCCCAACCCTGAGAACAATGACCCAGGACAGGTACATACAAAGAAGAATGAGGACAGCAAACATGCAATATCAGACACAGCACCAGTGGACATAAAGAGATGTCTCCGGGACCTCATAGATGAGTTGAAAAGTGAAATATTTAGCCAAGTAAAGCAAAATATAAGAAGATTAATAATAGAGAGGCTAAGCACCCCTCAAGCAGACACAGACAGAAGCAGGGAGGAACTCGAACAAAGGAGAGAAACACTTGATGAAGAATATAAAGCAAATATAGAATACATGAAGCAAATTCAAAGAGATTACCAGGAAATTAAAACCTCTATGGAAAGACGGCAAAACTGCTTGAAAGAAACTATGGATAGATTATCCAAACTGGAGGACAGGTTTGCAATGTGGGATTATGAAAGGGAAAACATTTTTAAAATAACAAAGAAACAACCAATAACAAATACAAGCCTAGAAGATGACAAGAGGATCAACAACTTGAGAATAAGGAATGTGAATGAAGAAGCAGGCCTACAAAGGAACTACAAAGGCTATTCACAGAAACAATTAAGGAAAACTTTCCAAACAAAGGAAAAGGATATTCAGATGTATGAGGCATACAGAACTCCAGCCACCTGCAACCAAAACAGAGCTACATCCAGGCATATAATAATCAAGATCCCAGAAATTCAATATAAGAACAGAATATTAAATCCTATTAGAGACAAGAAACAGATCACTTATAAAGGAAGGCCCATCAGAATAACGGCAGACTTCTCAACACAAACCATCAAGTCAAGAAGGCCTGGAGCGAAATATTACAACCCCTGAAAGAAAATAACCTTCAACCCAGATTGATATACCCTGCTAAACTCTCTCTAGAAATTAATGGAGAAACAAGATGCTTCCAAGACAAAGAGGAAATTGGGAAGTTCGCAACCACCAATCCAACTCTACAGAGAATATTGCAGGGCATTCTAGGGAGAGAGAGAAAAGCACTAGGGTTTCAGAAACACTGGCAGACAAGCTTCAAAGAATGGAGCAGAAACAGAATGAAGAAGATAAGCAGACAATTGATGGCAAAAAAGAGCATAACAGAAATGAGGCAGAGAAGGTTGGCTATAATCTCTAATATAGATGGCCTTGATACACTAAATTTTAAAAAAAGAACCATAGGTGGAGTAGATCAGGAGGCAGGGTCCACCGAGATACTATTTATAGGAAATATAATTAACATGAAAAAAAGAGTACATAGACTGAAAATCAAATATGAGGAAACAATGCTCTACGTGAAAGAGAACCAGAGAGTAATAGGGGCAACTAGATCAGTATTTGTGGATAGGCTGGAAAGACAGGCTTTAATAGGCAAAGGAATACAATTAGAGATCAAGTCCAGGGGACCGAAGGTTCGGAACCACTTAGGTAAATAGCAGGTTGCCCCCACCCCAAATTTAAAACCAAGGATCTTGGTCAGACCCAAAAATGCACAGTGTACCCTGGAGAAGTGAAAAAGGAGGGAGAGTCTTAAAGATGGCAGAAGATACTGTTAATAGTGTATCAGGATTTAAAACCCACATTACTCGCACCACTCTGCTTAAGATACATTTTATTCTTTTTATTTTTTTTGATAGATTTTATTCTGTCCCAGTTTGTCTACTTGCATTAGATTTGAGGGCACAGACAGCTATCCCAAAAACATCAGGATATAGCACAGTAATCATCTTTAATTTCCTATTATCTTAATCTGGAGCCCTGTATGACTTCCACTGTTTTATCATGACTCATCTTAGTTGTATCTGGTCTGTTTCATTGCTGTTTGGTATCAACACATTTTATTCAAAACTGATACGATTGATAGTATCAAGTCTGAGAGTATAGGCAACTACACTGAAGATGACAAGACTCTACAATACACATTCTGGTTTGATAACTGCCTGCTTTTGAAGTTTTATACTATATACAAAGTTGTGTCTTTATTAATACTGTTATGTACAGATACATTCAATTATACTATGTCTGATGACATAGCTAATTCTATTGAAGATAACAAGAGACAAAACAGGAACTATGGTAGAACTCCTTGTAAAACAGCCTTATATGTCTTTTTTGTTTCATGTGTTTATAGGAATATGTTTTGTTTTGTCTTGCTTTGTTTTGTTTCTCCCTCTAATACAGAAAGGATAGAAGTACATGTTAAGATTCATGCATGTGTAGAATCTATAAACAGTTTACGAGAACTGATCTTATGACACATGATGAAATGAACAAATACTTTGAAGAAAAAGAGTCACTCAAGTACCCAGTGCTGATCCTGGACTGTCATAATGTGACACTCAGCAATAGTACTAATCTTTGTTCAGAGTGATATTAGCCTGCTTGGGTTTGCTCAATCTCAAAATAATTGAAGATATGGATAACTACATGTATGTGTAAATGTATAGGATAACCATATTTCTAAGTTTTTGTTGGATAGCTGAACAGAACTGGTTACAGCCTCACTGTTTGAATCCCCACTTTATATGCTCCACTTTAGTATCTTGAACAACTATTTGTAAGAGGAAAATATGTAATCATCAACTAGTGATTTCTTACTGTATTTTTTCTTTGAAAGTATGTATTATTTCTACCTGTTTTGTTTTGTTTAGTCTTTCTTTACATAAAATTTTTAAAGAAGACACTACAGTACCCAGTGCTGATCCCAGAGTGTCATGATGTGAAATCCAGCAATACTATTATGCTTTGTTCAGAATGATTTAGCCTGCTTTACTTTGTTTAATCTCAGCCTAACTGAAGATATGGATAACTGCATGTATCTTTAAGTGTACAGGATTGATAACCATATTACTAACTTTTTGTTGGGTAGTTGAACAGAACTGTTTGCAATCTCGCTGTGTGAATTCCCATTTTATATGTTCCACTTTTGTTTTTTTTTTGGTTTTTTTTTTGGTTTTTTTTTTTTTTTTTTTGTCTTTTTCGTTTTTATCGGTACCAGGGATCGAACTCACGACCGCCTGCTTGCAAGGCAGGTGCTTATGCCGCTGAGCTAAATCCCCAGCCCCTGTTCCACTTTTGTATCTTGAACAACTATTTGTAAAAGTACAGTATGTAAACATTAACTAGTGAGTTCTTACTTTGTTTTTCTCTGAATGTATGTATTATTTCTACCCATTTTCTGTTTTGTTTAGTCTTTCTTCAAATAAAATTTAAAAAAAGAATCACAGCAGACTTTTCAGCACAAACTCTCAAGTCAAGAAAAGCTTGGAATGAGGTATTTTAAGCCTGAAAGTAAACAACTTTCTATCCAGACTGATGTACCTAGCAAAACTTTCATTCAAAAATAATGGAGAAACAAGATACTTCAATGACAAAGCAAAACTGAAGAAATTGGTGTCCACCAAGTCAACCCTAGATGGAATGTTGAAGACATACTAGATAAGAGATTAAAATTAACACAATCCCCAGAATAACAACAGAAAGAAACCACTAGGTAGGACATGCAATTAAACAAGAGGGAAAAGCAGAAATCAAAAAATTGGAACATAACATGGCAAAGTCAAGCCAGTATATATCAGTGATATCCATAAATGTAAACAGCTTGAATTCACATATCAAAAGAAGTAGGTTGACAGAATGGATCAAGAAACATGACCCCACAATATGCTGTATACAAGAAACACATCTGACCTTAAAGGAAACTCATAGATTAAAAGTCAAAGGATGGAAAACAGTATTCCATGAAACAGGAAGTCAGAAAAAAGCAGGGGTAACAGTTCTATTTGCAGACCATGTGAACTTCAAACCTAAAAAGATTAAAAGAGATACAGAACGTCACTACATACTCATTACTGGAAAATTTCAAGAGTAAGAACTAACAATTGAAAATATATATGCACCAAATTCAGGAGCATCCAACTATATAAGACAGATATTAATGGACATGAAAAACCAAATACCCAAGAACACAATTCTAAGAGGGGACTTTAATAGCCCATTGCCACAAAGAGATAGATCAACTAGACAAAAAGTCAGTAAAACAATAATAATACAAAACTCACACTAGCACCTGCACAGGGAGAGTTTAAGATCAT